AATTATGCGTTTATATTGCCAGACACGCCCGCGGCGGACTTACTACGTCGCCATCTTGAATCACACTGGGGCCAAGAACTACTTGCGTAGACGCCATTGCCGTAGAAGAAAGTAGATCTCCGCGGAAGGATACACAAGTCTGATTGCATATTGCACAATACGCAACACATCGCGTGTAATGAAGTCCCGCTGTTACAGATCTAATTTGCACAGTACAGCGTTACGACGGAAACACTGCACGCATTGCGCGTAGGAGCGATGAGGCACTAGGCGTGTTAGTGTCGCACGTATCGCTCACTCGCTTCTTGGCCTTGGACGCGCAGCTACATAATACCCGTAAGAGCCGTCCAGATCTCTCAACTCAACTCATTCCACACCCTCTGGACACTTTTGATGAATTTTGTTTGCCATTGGTTACTTTAATGTGTGAAACGCCTTTCTCATTCGACAATCTGTGCTACGACCGCGCTGCAAAGCTAAAGAACACAACATCCTCGTCAGTGAATGCGAGTTTGCACACTTTGGCAGGAGATTGTGGAGGGGTGCATCAGTATCGCTTACGAGAAATCCACAATGTTTTTCTTAAATAATCGATCCGTTACGGGATTATCCGGAAACGGGAAGATTGTGAATCCTATAAAACAACTATTCTGATACGGTTGAAGAAAACAGGCATTCAATTATAAAAGTTGTCACTCCACCTATTACGGTGTAAACTGATATACATTACAATACGTGAAATATCTTTGTGGGGAAATTCATCGAACCGACATTGACATATATAGATTTTTGGTCGAAAGCTCTATTTTCGCTCGAGTAAAAATTTAATGATTTAATCTCTCTTTCTCTCTCTCTCTCTCTCTCTCTCTCTCTCTCTCTCTCTCTCTCTATCAATCAATCTATCTATCTATTTATCTGCCCATCTCTCTTTCTCATTATAACTTCTGATTTTATCAATCGAGCAGTTCACAAATATTGGACAAGTGGAAATTATTTTAAAATTAGAAGTAAAAAAGTAAGTAGGCTGTGTGTGTAGCCAACTGTTATTGTTATCGAAGAAAACTTCTCCTACGAGCGAACAAAACGGAAACAAGCAAAGAGACGGGAACATGCAACAAATTATTTAATATTTTCGAGGAAAAAAAGTTACAATAAATTTTTATTGATTGCTCATCCTAGTTGCGAAATGTGGTGTCACAAAGGAGAGAAAACTAAATGCCTTTGTCCAGTATATTCTCTTGTTTGTAGGCAACCGACGACAAGTATTCACAAGAGATCTGAAGATTCCTCTACTTCAACACTTGTACATTCGTTCTGTTTTTACAGCTGGAGAGTATTTTAAGCGATCCGCTCTGGTGGAGCGATGGAAAGAAGCATAACTAAAGACAGTTATTTATCTAGAGGAAAGTAGCTTCCACTGTGTCCCTGTCCGAAGTTGATATTTCGTTGTTGGTTATCAATGGTGTATGGATACGCTTCTCCATATTGTCTGCAAACAATTCATATGCGTCAAATAATGCAGAGTACAACCTTAAAGGTAGCAAGACTCTGCACTGTTTAGGCGAATATGTTCTCAACGCATAGCACAATTCAAAGGAATAAAGTCTTCTCACCGCGTGTGGTAGAAAGCAACGAACTAACGTTGTCCGTTCCAGTGGTTAAAAGTCTGCGGAGTTTAGCGTAACACGAACTAAATTCAAAATTACGAAATTTACCTGAGATGGGGTGGAACGCACACAAGTATTACTTGGCTGTACTGTTATTTGCTTTTATGGTTATTATAGCTTCTATGTTGAATGGTATGACCTGATCACATGTTCGGTTATTTTGGCAGTATGAAAAAAGTGTAACTTCGATGACGTGAGCAGAATGGTTTAGTTGTGTGATTCATCTTTTGTAATAGTGGATTGGTTTGATGGGATGTTTAGTTAGTTAAATGGGAGGGGCAGAATGCTTAGCTGGTATGGTTGGTTAGTAAGAGCGGGATGCAATTTTTGAGAACTAAGACGATATGAGTGTCGTAAATAGTTAAATGAATAATATTGATCTTATGATAGCATGGTTGGAATATTTGACTGGTTCGGCAGGTGGTATGGCTTGTTTATAATTATGTGTAACTGGCAAAGTTAGATGGGGCTGAAATGGTAGTCAATATAGTTGACTGTTATTATTGATCAGTAAGTCTGAGGAATAGTGGTGGATATGGAACTATTGTTAATAGCATGAATAAGGCAAGCTAATGTGATGGTGAAAGGTATTATACCTGTTTTGGTACTCATTACAATTCGATATAGTTGTTAAGTAAGACTGGAAGGAGGGGAAGTGAAGAGGGGTCTGGTGATGAATAGAGTATGATGGTTAGGTTAAGTGAATATCGAGAGAAAAAAAAAATATTCAGAGTTCTTACAAGATGATTGGTTTAGGTTATCTTAGGTTAGGCGAAGTTAGGTTAGTTAAGGTGAAGTTAGATTAAATTATTTTAGGTTAGGTTAAGTTAGATTAGGCGAAGTTCGGTTACGTGATATTAGGTTAAGTGAAGTTAGGTTATTTTATCTTTTGTTAGGTTATCTTTGGTTAGGTTAAGTTAGGTAAGGTTATCTTAGGTTATGCGAAGTGGATACTGAACTGTTTATGGGATGGTGTGTTGGAAACAATTTACAAGCATTACATTATATAGGAATAGGAAATATTTTTCTAAGTTCAACATAGAAGTCCCTACATACTTAAGTCTGGAATATAAATAAAATTACTAAATGTAAAAATTATATAATAAAAAGAAATACTTAAAATGTTAAAACTTGAAAAGAAAAAAGTTATTCCTGGTCTCCGTAATTATGGTGATGGTTGGTAGAGCAGATGACATGCACGAGTTACAGTGGGTGGAACATATAATGTTTAGGTGCCTACTTGCGAGTATATAAGCCGCTGGGTTCATTTTATGGAGCTGTTTGACAGTGGCAGCCGTAAAACTTTGCCGAGAAGAATATATGACCAAGGGTTCAGGTTAGATTCTTGCTAGAATGGACTGTCTTGAACTGTGTATAAGCAGATTATGTTCACTATGTGCTGCTGTAAAGATACTATGTGAATTGAGTGGAAAAATTTAAGCATTCTGTTCGAAGTAGATGTAAATATATAAATATAAAAGTGCTTAATTTGTCTCTGGTATTGTATCCTGTGTCTATTTTTTCTGATGTATAGAGAATATGATGGTGCTTTGTTTAGTCACATAAACACATTTTTGAAAAAGCCGATTCGGGTACTTTTATTAGTAGATATAATATGCCGATACGAGGACAACCCCCAGTTATGGTTCAAAACCACCATAAAATAACTCTAAATTTAATGGTCCACCCACACCATTCTAGTAGTGGGAATGTCGATACGAGAACAACCCCTGTTAATGGTTAAATATCACCATAAAATAAATCTAAATTTAATGGTCCACCTACACCTTAAAATACTCCCCAATTTATTCTCAGCGCCTTTTCAGTTAATGGTTTAAAATCACCATAAAATAAATCTAAATTTAATGGTCAACAGACACCATTCTAGTAGTTATTAATTATACCTCTGGTAATGGTTGACAGACACCATTGTGCACACACCACTTATTTGAACCGCGTATGCTTGTCTTAGTCCATTAGCATTTTTTTAATTTCCTTATAAATTTAATGGACAACAAACACCATGCAACTATTTTTAAATTTATTCCCATCTAATGGTTTAAAATCATCCATAACACACGCAGCACTTATTTGAACTCTGTATGCTTACCTTCATCCATTAGAATTTAAATTTATATTTTTGATTTAATGCTTGCCAAGGAACCATTAAATTTTTGACATCCTTCCCATTATCATTATGGTTACCTTCATCATACCTGTGGAATATTTTTTTGGTTTAAAGAAATGAAAATGTCATATAAAGAGATACATAAACAAAACATGGATCAGTTGCTAAATATATTAAACAACACCAAACAATTTAAGAAACTTTCCGACCTTACAATAGGACAGTCTTATCCCATAAACCATGCTGAGATAAAGGAAACATCGTACGGCCGCAAAGTGGTAGTTACTTCAGGTAATTTCGAGGTAACCTTTCCAGACAGATATGTTAATATTTTCAATGATAATGTATTAAGGGATGTTAATCATGGAGATATAAGTTTTAAGTATGAAGGAATGGTAAATTATGGTAACAAACAAAGGCATTCTATCCAGTTTGTTAAAGAGTAAAACGTCGTAGTATAACTCGACATCAGTTGATTTTTATCTGTCTTCATATCCTTATAAAGTTTTAATGATTATATAAAACCATTAAAACTCAATTATCGCTCTGACTTCGACAAGGTGCTACAACATAGTCTAATTAAAAGTTTAGATACGCACCTGCAGATTCGGCATATTAAAGTAGGCGAAACATTGAATTCTTTTTCTAAATTTTTCATTGCACCTTCTATAGAAATATTATCCATCTTTATTATTACAAGAAAAAATTGCAAAAGGTTTACGGGCTGTTACAAAGCGCCAGGGGACCTTTTTTGATATTGGTTTACGGCCAACTTAATGACTCGCCAGGGACCATTTTTTTTTTATTTTACCGGCCTTATTTTAGCACCAACAAAACTCCATTGGAGAACTCCCCCACCTCACCACTCGGCCGGCCTATGATGGTTTTTTTTTATATTATTAAGTGGTGAGATGGGAGAGTTTTTTTTTATTTCTAGTACCCCCTCTCAGATGGTGTGGCGCCTTCACCATCCGAGATTACCCAGCTATACATCTGATACAATACTGAATACTATAGAGAGTATGTTTGCTGGGTTTTAAGAGGTACCATATATTTGCATCTGCTACTCCTAGCATCTGCTAAGAGAACGAGCATTTATTTTACCATAGAATTAGCCCAAATTTTGAACGGCTCGGTTAATAAATATACAGAGTAAATATACAGAGTGGATGCGGGCGCCTTCACACCCACGCTGTAAATTAATCCGCTCAGCCCGGGATTTGAACCCACGAACCTTGCGTTAAGAGCCGTACGTCTTGCCACTGAGCTAAACTGGCAAGACTGAGCTAAACTGGCAAGACGCTAGGCGAGGTTCTTCATACTGTTTATATAGTGAGTCACTCTGGCGAATTCCGTCGAGTGGTTTAATGAGTCACGGCCAGAGGGAGTATACGTCGACCGTCGACCGCCTCATGGTCCGTATATTGCATCACAGATAGAGGCTCTGCAGTCAAGGCCAGCGAGATGCATGCTGGTTCACATATAACCGCACAGATAACGAGTTCGTACGAGGAAAACTGGTTCCTACAGAGAGCGTGAGCTCTCTGTTGTTGTCAGATACAGTGTATGAATTGTCTTGAGTTAAATACAAGCAATTAGAATGAATCTGGTTTATATATATATTTATATGAAACTTTAATGGTTTAAAAAATAACCATTAAAGTTATTATACAGAATACTTTCAACCTAAAATACCTTTTTCTTTAATATGAAAATAGTTATCTACGGTCTCATCTCTAATACTACCGTTCTATCTGATGAATCAAAATTTATTAACTTACCTTTGTCATCCTTAATTTCAATCATTATTTCCGTTACTTGAGTTGTTTGCACTGGAAAAAATAATGGATAAGCAGGTTCGTAATAGATCGTGTCGCCAAATCCAAATGTCGTCCTCGGTTTAAAGGTAGCAATGATGCTGGTTTCTCTGTGGGTGTATTCATCATGTTTTAATATCATACCATTAGCTATATTACAGTGTATATTTATTGTTTCAAAAGGAACAAATTTTGGAATTGTATCACCATAATGGTACTCATTTGCTTTCAGGATTTTATTTTCTGTGAAACCCAAAAGCCCACCAATTGACCCCCACTTCCCAAACTGTAGATTAAAAACACATTTTACTTTCACCCTGTTTGTTATGTTATCCAGCTCAAGGGATATGCTATTTTTTTCTCCCCCGCCCATTGGAACTACATTAAATGGGGGAATGGTTTTTATAGTTTTTACAAGATCTTTTAAGCTATATTGGCCAACTGGAATTTCAACTGCTCTTTCCATACCTGCCATGTCTATAAAATAGAGCCTGTTTTTCACATGGGTAATGTTGTGTGTTAAGTATGTAGTGTAGAACTGAACTAAAGCCACTGAGTGCTCCTCTATCTCTAAAGGATAATGTAGCCTTTTCTTCAACACTGATTTGTTATCTGTTAGCTTGAATACTTTACTCATTTATTATAAAAATTATTATTAAATAAATGAAAGGAGACAAGAAACAAGTGGACTGGGATATTAAAATAAGGTTACCAGAAAACACTGTATTCACAAAACGTCATGGAGAATTATTACCTAATAATATTAGATGTTTGATAGTGGGTGCTAGTAATTGTGGTAAAACTACACTTATGATAGATAATTTTATATATGCCCCGGGATGGTTGGACTTTGGTACTCTCTACGTATGTTCAAAAAGTTTGAATCAATCAAAATATATCACTTTGAAGGAAGAGACAGAGGCAGCAGCAAAACTGATAACTGAACCAATAGCATACTTCTTCCCTACAAATGAAGAAATGGTTACCGTGGATGAATGCTGTAATGACTCTGTTGTTGTTTTCGATGATGTCATACTTGAAAATCAGGACAAAGTAAGAGATTTCTTCACTCGCGGTAGACACAAAGATATTGATTGTTTCTATTTAGCTCAAACATACTCAAAAGTGCCTAAACAGCTTATAAGAGACAATGCCAATTTTCTTTGCGTATTCAGGCAAGACGATACAAATCTTAAACATATTCATAGCGATTTTGTTGGTGGTGATATGTTGTTTGAGAAATTTAGGGAGACTTGTTCAAAATGCTGGGATAACGAATATGGTTTTGTTACAATAGATACGACTCGTAAGTTGAATAATGGTAAGTATCGTAACAAAATTAAACAGTTTTTAAATCCTTAGATTATTATCACATTTTCCTTTGCTTTTAATGGAAGTGTTTCCATTAAAAACTAACAGTATCTGATTTTTTTTAAATATATTTATACACCACAACTATTTCGATAAAAACAACTGTGCCTTCAGGTACATTGAAAGCCTTTGGAATTTTAAAAAATATTTTATCATCAGACATTACATCGAATGACTTATGCAATTTAATTTTTTTCAACTTATAGTATAACATGATAATGTCTTTATATTCTTCCGGCTTTATTATTATCTCACTTACTCGCCCATCTCTCATAAAAATGTATTCTGTTTGATTACTACCTAGGTAAAATACTTTATCCTTTGAACTGTATTTTCCAACTAAACGAATAATGTTAATTCTGTTTGACTGATAGTACTCTAAATTGACTGCATCATTAGGTGCAATAGGCTTTCCCACGTTTCTAAGCCTTTTGTTTTCAAAATCTATATTATTATCTTCTTCCAAGTAGGTAAGAAAGGCTTTATCCAATGATCTTTTATTTCTTGTCAGTGTGGTTATAAAGTCACTGAACTGTGGGTAGGAAACAAAATCATTAGGATTGATATTCTCAGTAGTTGTATCATTACCCCTGTGTTCTTTAATTTGATCCTCAATCCAAGAGGACATTAATGCATTTCCACATATATCCATCGTTTATTATTAGTGAAATAATTTTCGGAAATTTAAAATTATGCGAAAAGTGATTTAGCACAATTAAACACAAATGACCACAAATTACTTGATGGAAATTTTGAATTCTGTCATCATTATAAAAAATATTACCCCCGAGATATGCGATCAATTCCCGGGGTGGATCCCCACCAAATGAGTCGAAATAATATTTGTTGTTAGCTTCCTTCCAATAGCATACCCAGTGTGTTCCAGAGTTTTTTGAAACATCTAGGTTAACAATTCCACATTCCTGATAGAGTGATTTGTTAGGTAACTCATCAATCATAAATACACCTCTAAAGTTTTTAATGTTTAATCTTTTAACCAGTTTATCAATATCAAAGTTACTGAGTGGAGTTACCTTTTTTTTACAATTTTGACTCCTTTACCTTGTTTTTCCATGGCTAAATTATGTCTACGTTGTTCTTCCAATTCCTGGTTTCTCTTTTTAGCATTAATAACTGATGTAGCGATAGATGAAGCGCCCCCTGCCAACGCCCCTAGAGCACCCAATGCTGCAAAAATCAAAGGCAAAAATCCACCCTTGTGAGATGTCAAACCATTTCCTGTTTTCATTTCCTTAGACATTTTCTTAAGTTGTGGAACTGAGACTGTGATATTCATGCCTTTGCCCTCCTTTAATTTCTTGTTTTTGCATTCCAGTTGGTCTTTCGTCAGGAAAGAATCAATATCCAAACCCTTCAGCTCCTCGTTAGAAACTTGAAATGCAATGTTTTTTACTTTCATTTATTATAACACATATTTTAAATTTTTATTTTAATCCCCCAGCCAAGCTTACGTTTAATATGCATCGCAGATCCAGTAACACCAGCCCACAATCTCTCATTGAGATCAGCATCTGGGCTTAACAATCTTTTGAATGCCTTCTTTTCTAGTTCCTTATCAGCTACATGTCTTTCAGCTAGATCTTTATAATGATGATAAGCTACATCATGCTCCATTGCGGCCTCATCTAATGGATTAACAGGTTTATCGCCTCTCTCAAGCCTCTCTTTTAGTCTGGTACCTGGACCCAGGAATCTGTAGCCTGGTGCATGCAGCTCAAAAGGCAGAGAATTTATTAAGTCATTGAGTAATCCTTTTCCATGATGTTCTGACTCCCAGAATGAATGAGGTATTGTGTTCAACATTCGTATCAGGTATGGTATACCTTTTGGATTATTCACAACAAAGTCACTGAACTTGCTGTTGAGCATATTCATTATTCCAACCTTCTCATTGTAATAGTTATCATTTCCAGCATTCTCTTCGCCATAAATAATGAGAAGTCGATCAATGAGCTTCCTAACATCGTCCATCCATATGTATTCTTTGGGATAGTCTGTATATTTCTTAATACCTTTTCCTGTTCTAGGTGAGAGGTTTTTCTTTTTAATCAATTCGTAAATAGGTTTAACAATATTTTTCCATTTGTCACCCCTGCTTGATTTTGGTGTTCCTGAGTTTGGATCATTCTTTTGAAAAACTGCATTTGTATCTGTTAGGATATGACTATAGTTTTCATAGTCGGTTCCAGTGTAGTCACTTTCTGATACGTCCTTACGTGTTAGCAATTTCAGCAAACCATCAGTTCCAATGTATGTTCGACCTTTTACAGTAAACTGGTCATTGTTGAATATTACTTCGCTATCACCAATATACCTTCTGCTTCCTTCAGTCCTTAGCCCAAAAACATGGTCATCACAGTTATTTAAGAATTCAGTCACTTTCTCTCCAATAAATGTTGTTCTATAGTTGGTTAACGGTACAATATCGGTTTTCAAATGCCCCAACGCCTCATCATAGCGTTCAACGCCATCGTCATAATGTTCAACACCATCGTCATAGCGTTCAACGCCATCGTCATCAGTGTCTGCTTTACCAAACAGCTTTCTCTCAAATGAAGTTTCCGTAGGTGTCCGTGGGTAGTCCAAATTCTTTACAGCAAATGGAACAAGTTCCTCGATTAGGTTCTTATTCTTGTTTGTAATGTGCTCAATTTTTTGCCCCAAGTCTTCTATAGCATCTATCAAAGGTTGCTCTTGTTTCTTATTTCGATCATACTCATCTTTTCGTAGTTTCCTGAATGCTTTAAACTTTTCAGTTAGCTGCCTTCTTCTCTCTATATTCTTTTTAGCTTGTTCTTCGGTAATCATTTATTTATAATAAAATAAAAATGAGTAATGATAACTTAAATGTGTACTGTCTCAAGTGTAGGAAGCATACACTAAGTGATAAGGTTTCATATGAACTTACAAATAATGGTAAAGCAAGAATTAAATGTGTTTGTAGATGTTGTGGCGCCAATAAGTCTATGTTCACTGGTGGGGATATAAAAAACGATATTGCAAATGAAATTCATAAACCAATTCGAAAAAACTTTCCCAGGAGGGCTGTTCTATCTTTTGGCATCGAC